CTATTTTTTTCCATAGCAAAGTGCCCCTCTGGCATTGTGGCCAAGGTCCAGGAGAGTTGGGAAAGGGTTTGAGGCAGAGGGACTACTTCCCTAGTTTGCTGGCAGGCAAGATGGAACCCCAGCCCTGCTGGCCATGCCCCTGGTGGTATAGCTGCCCTCAATGGACACTCTGCAGGATAGTTTTACCCTGCGAGCTCACTGGCCACTGTGAGTATCACGTCCCTCCAAACAGCCTAGAGCCTCCTGTTTCATGTTATGGAAAACAGTCCCTTTCCTGGCACTCCTAGTTGTTCTGGCACAACCCAAACCTAACCTTGCTTTAAGTTAGGAGAAGGGAAAGCTGCATACCAACTTTGGTGATCTAGCTATTACCATTCAGGAGAAGTTCTTGAACAAATGGCTGTTAGATATATAAGAGAGAGAGAGAGAAAGAGAGAACTCTCCCTCTCTCTCACTTGGTTACATCTGTACGCAGAGCTTATTGCACAGATGAGGTACTCTTTGCAATCTTCCAGCACCCCACTTTTTTACTTCTGTGTGCTACTTACCCATCCTCCTCAATTCAGTGACCCCTGCCCATTCTTCCTGTCTCCTCCCACCAGAGTATGTGTTCTCTGTTCCAAGGTCCTGCATTCCCTTGCCATGCCAGAGGCTTTATATGCCCCTTTTTACTTGAACCCTATGTGAAGATCCCTCATTTTCCCTCCTGCATCAAGGAGAGTGGAAGGCATTAATGGATGCCATGAACCATTGATAGGTAGAAGTACTAGATGCTTTGTCTTTGCTAAACAGATGGCAGAAGCTTCATGTATGTGCCTGCTTTTTGTTTTTCTAGTTTCACCTAAAACTGGTAGGGTTCTGGCCATTGATGCATCAAATGTTAACTGAAAATTTTGAAATTTAATTAGATAAGGGTGTTCAAAATGTATGATACAGTAACAGAAATGTCCTGTTTTATAGGTAATGGGGATGTGATGGGGTAAGTGGTTAGCTGGTTACCAAGGAGCAGCCTGCAGCCCGCCATGAGTGGAGTGGCCTCTCCAGCACTGCAGGGCTGCTGGTCCCAACCTGTGAGGGTTTATGGGCTGGGAGTCAGCAGGCTTGCGTGTGGCAGAAGTGACAGCATGCAGGGGGAGGGGAGGAAGGGCTGCTGGCTCCCAGCCCAGGCAGGCTGGGAGCTTGCATCTCTCTCCTGCTGACACTTCTGCCCAGCGTGAGCCTGCTGACTGCCACTGCCACTCCTGCTTGTCCCCGTTTAATCAGTTAAACAGTGCTGGTTAATTAAATGGGATTTTACATCCCTAGTACGTAAGGCTCTCACAAGGTCAGCCAATTAAAACTTACAACAAAAGATTGTGGAAAGGGCTTACGTTGTCTTGACCCTCTGTACTACAATGAATTTTAAATAGAAGAAATGCGTTTTTTTAAATTTTAGGTCTAATTGAGTAAATCAGATTGATATATTTCAATCTCATAATTGAAAATGGCCAACAAATAGAATCCTATCTGAAGATCTTCCTTTCTTCAGTGTCAGTTGCCTTCGACTGACTTAAAGGAATCTGAGTGACACTTTTGAGATTAATAGCAGAGGGAATTATCATCTTCCATCAACCAGGAAGAAAATAAGATTTAGGGGAGGATAGGGAAAGGCCAGGCTTGATGAAGAAAAAAAGTAGTTATTTTTAAACATACATGCAGACTTCCATGAATTCTGGAAATCATTTTAGTAGGTCAAACTATCAAGGTATTGAACATCTTCCACCTGTCAAATCTAAGGGAGTTGAGGGGATGCCGCACCTTCCCGGATTTAATCAGAAAGAAAGATGGTGACTATAATTGTTTTTACATTTTGGAGAAAAACTGTAAAGTAAAGTCAGTCTTTTTTGTCGTCTTGAAAGAAATTAGTGCAGTAACACTTTATGCTTGAATATCTTTAAAAGGTTGGTACGCGAAGGTACATGGCTCCAGAGGTATTAGAAGGTGCGATAAACTTCCAAAGGGATGCATTTCTGAGGATAGATATGTATGCTATGGGATTAGTCCTGTGGGAACTGGCATCCCGATGTACTGCATCAGATGGTAAGCAAAATGTTTACTTTTATAAAAATACATAGTTGATACTTTAGTACTTAAAGCCTTGAATCAGTGGGGAGTGGAAAGGGAGGGGGAAGGGGATGAAGAAGCAAGTTGTCTCTTTCTCTGCTGTGTGTGTGCATTTCCATTTAAGATCTGAATTTACCATGCTTAAACTGTTGTTCTTTGTAACGTTCCTGTAATATGTATTAACCTAATTGTAACCTCATATGTATTTCAATCTTAATAAATCCATTTAACACATCTTTTGGTCTGAATTTCCTTGTTTCTTTTTTTCAAGCTTACACGAAACAAGAAATTCAAAGATAATCTGTCATGTGATATTTCTAATAATATTGATAGTATCCATCTTAAATTGCTTTACTCTTTGGCTGCTTAATGGCCCTTTGCAGCAGTATAAAGCAGCCAGATCATGCTGGACAGTTAATCTGGGGTGTACAGCTGCAAAGCTGTTTAACACCCCATTTTCCCCCTCACTCTTGATTCCTGTTTCCCGGTGCTTACACATTCCCCCACTACCTCTTGTCTTCCACAGTCCATTGTGTACAAATTCTAAATTATTTTTCTCTCCTAAACCCTTCTGTTCCTCTGCACACATTTGCGTGCTGGCTCTTGCCCCTTCACTGTTTTTTCTTCTGAGTAGATATGGTGCAACAAGTAGCTTCTGAAAAGAAAAATATCCAGGATTAAATGTAATCTTCTGTTGTTTTTCCATAATTGAAAGCTTGTTTCTCAATGAACGCTGGTGTATACAATTTTCTTCAGAGAAACTTAAAAAGAATTGCCCTCAGAATTGCCACTGCTTCTGTTTTGTTCACAATAGGAGTGAAGTCAAGTTTCTTGCATGTAAACTTTGGTAAAGGTATAGTGTAATTTTCATGTGTAACAGAGAGAATTCCTGGACTTGCATGCAATTTTTTTCAGCTTTTGATTAAGGAGTAATTAAGGAAGCACCAATTATTTAAGTTTTAATTCCTCCTTATCTCTAATAATTTGTGTATCCATATATGTTGTAAAAGCTTTGAGGTAGAGGCACTTCTTTATTTTCTGGAAAAGTACCCAGCAAGTTTATTTCAAAGCAGATATTTGCAAACCCAGACTTTTCAGAGGAAGATGAATTTTGAAATTTTTGAAAAGTAAGTTTCAATAGTATAGTATAACTTCATTTCAGAATTGAATCTAAATTTATTTCCTAGCATTTTTTTAATAAACGGAAAACATGGTCTTAAAATAAGTTTGCCAGGTGTCCAGTTTTGAGCTTTCTGTTCGGGAAACAAATTGAGAAAATATAAATGCCCAGTATTTCCTAAATAAGAGGTGATGTAGATTGTAATGTAATGTCAAGTGTGTCTGGTATTTTTGTTGAAGCCATCTGGCAACCATATCTTAAAATGGTCAACCCTAACTATAGGAGGCTACCAATTGTAAACTTGTCTGAAGAAGTGGGCTGTGCCCACAAAAGCTCATGATACCATCTACATGTTTTGTTGGTCTTTCAAGTGCTGCCATACTATTTTTTTTTTTTTTTTAAAGTTTGTGATATACCTAAGTTAGGTATATGAAAACATGATTCTGACCAATATAGTTGTGCTGCAAAAACCCTGTAGGGTCAATGTAGTTACACTGGTAAGAATGCTCTTCTTTTGTTCTGAGAGGGGAGAGTATAGACTAAAATAGATTCTTGAAGCTGCATTCACACTAGAAGCGCTTTGCTCATAGTGTGGGATCTGAATTTTGATGGTGGACTTAGAGATGACATTGCAGCCTGTTTTTGGACCTTGCTTTATTCTAAGTCTTAGTTGTTGCTGTTCTTTTTTCCTGGTTATTTTTTTACAATCTAGTTTCCCTTGCCTTCAGCTTGATTACTGTTAATATAATTTCATGAGTGGAATGGTAGAGATTTTTTTTAAAGAACACAATTACTCTGATACACAATATTGGCACTTTGGCATTATATGAGTTAATGACTGTACAGTGTTTTGACATACTTATTAAATTTGTGGTATGCCAGTTGTCTGAAACACAACTTATTTTATTATTACAATATAGGGCCAGTGGATGAATACATGTTGCCATTTGAAGAGGAAATTGGTCAGCATCCATCTCTTGAAGACATGCAGGAAGTTGTAGTGCACAAAAAGAAGAGGCCTGTTTTAAGAGAATGCTGGCAGAAACATGCTGTAAGTCTGGCATGGGGAACCTCTTTTGGGTTGGGGGCCACTCACCCACAGAGTCGGGGGGAACAAGAAGCAAACAAACAAAAACAGCATTGACCTCGCTGTCAAGTGAGAAGGGAAAAACCCCTCTCAGATGTGGTGCATCTGAGAAGCAGAAACAAACACTCATCTCATTACCCTCAAGCTCCAGCTGAGGCTCAGAGCTTCTCCACAGAGTCATTTAAGCTCTTTTGGGGGCCTAGAGCTCATGGATTTTGTGGAGTTTCCTCTCCTGCCCCCCGGGGGTCTGAGATGGGGACAAAATGAGAGTTTCAGTGTGTGGGAGAGAGCTGCCAGGCAACAGATTTGGGATAGGAGTCTGGTGGGAGAAGGTGAGAGGAGTCTGGGGGTGCAAGGTCTGGGCAGGAGGTAGGATGCAGGAACGGGATAGGGCTGTGGGGTCTGGGTGGGAGATAGGGCGCAGTAGCAGGCTAGGGACTAGGGAGCCTACCTAGTGCAGCTCCTGGGCGGGCACAGGTAGTTAGTTCTATGCTGCCCTTTCGGGTACCGCCCCCTGCTGCTTCCATTGGCCATGATTCCTGGCCACTGGGAGCGACGGTTGGAGCCTTTAAGTGACTGAAGGGACAGAGCTTCCCTTTGCTGTCCTTCCCCAGCCAGAGATGGAGGGGGAATTGAAGTCCACAGTGTTGCTTTCTTCCCCCTGCTAGGCAGAGCTCGCAGAACACATCTGTAGGTTCCCCATCCCTGAAGTAAGTAGTAAAATAACCATGGTCTGAAACTATCATTGTGCTTTAATTGTAAAATTGAATGAAATATTGCCTTTAACTCTTATCCGTGGACACTTTTTTCCTTTGGATACAATATTTTATATAACAATTAGTTCTATTGAAAATGTAAAACTGTATACGAATGTGCTTTTTTACTACTTAGTTTTTAAATGCAGGGCTCACAGTAAAGATTCCTTACTTCTTAAAAATTTTAAACTTCCTTGTTGAGTGTAATGACTCTTCAATTTTAATCTTAAGCAGTTATTAAAAATATAATATGAAGACTAATTACTGAAATGATGCCATCTCTTTGGTAAGCTGCCTTTAACTCCACAGTAACACTCTCAGAAATGTAAAAAGTGCCTGAAACTTCAAGGATAATTTAGGCAGAATTAATTGCCTACATTTGGAAAAACTGGTATGTTCTTTTCAGTCACAATAGTCAGAATTTTTGTTTGGTCTCTAAAATCAGCACCTCTGATAGCATACTGCTCCCTAATAACAGGCTAGGGTATTTAATTTCACAATAAATTGCAAAGTAAGCACGCATCCATTACCTGACTACTAATACCCTGGCTTCTATTCTTATTTTCTTTGGAGTTATTTCATTCACATTTTCAACAGGACCAATAGTTTGAGATCTCCTATTTTAAGATAAGAAAGGTGCTATATAACACACATATATACAGGGCTCAACAAATAATACAAGTAACCTGGAAGAGCCAGGTTATTATTTGTACAATAATACAAATAATATAAGTAACCCGGAAGAGCTGGGTTTCTGCGATCTGCGCAGATCACTGGACAGCGCGGCTGGCGAGCAGGGCTCACCGCGGTTCGGTGAGCCGTGTGTGTGTGTGTGTGTGTGTGTATTTATATGGAGAATAGAATTCTGTACTTAGGAAGGGTTTAAACAGTTTGATGTGAATAAGGTAGGGATAAACCTCAGTTCTGGCATTTTCTAACTTCAGAGTTCTTCACTTTGCCACCCATATCCTTTTAAGATAGCTTTTTTTTTTTTTCATATAACTTCCTGAAAAAATGTGATCATGTCAACCATATTGACCTCCACATGGTTCATCATCAGGGTTGGGACCCTTAAGATATATAGGCATAGATCTTCTAGCATCTTAGCTGAGAATAGCCGTTAGCTACACGAAGTTGTTATCCTCAGTGTTTCAGCTATTACAGGAGGATGACACAAATGCTTTTGTCATTGGACTTCACTGCTAGACAGTTTGAAAATGTTGAGACTCAGATATCGTGGTGTCTTTCAGATTCTAGAGAATTTCCTGAAGTAATTATTAGACTTATGCACCCAATCATCTTTCTCCACTCGTGCCCTCCTGCTGGTCTGTGTCCTGCCCTTCTCACCCCTCTGTATTCTATTCAGGTTGATTACTTCTCAGTGTTGCCTGTGGGCCAGCAGGAGCATTGAGAGCATAGGAGAAAAACTGTCTCTTTGCACTGAATTGGTGTCACAGCAGCTCCCAGGTTGTAGGAATGAGAGGAAAAATCCAGCTTAGTCTCCTTTTGAAGATAGTCCATGTACAGTCCATTTGATAGGTAGGAGCTATGAGGGGATGAATTATGCTCAGCAGAGACAGAATCTTAAGAGGATTACAGTTAAATTTTCCAAACTTCTAGTGAACATATGTGATCCCCTCCCCCCACCAAATTGAAGTACCTGCCTGGAGATGCTAGAACAGCACCTAGACTAATGAATGAATTGCATGGGTGGCCCTCCATCTCAGTGGGCCACAAGATTGTTGTAACCAAGATGATTTCCTGCTAACTGTGCTTGTATTGCTAGAATTTGTGGGGTGAGCTGACTGAACTGAAGCAGTGCTTTGATTGGATTCAGAGAGAATGCATGACTTTTAGTCAATGTTGTGTGCGATCACCACACACCTCACTTCATGTGCTCTTCCTTTACATGCATGTCACTTTAGTAATACCAGTAGGAAAAAAAATCTATGCAGGTGGAAATCAGTGGAATCTGGCAGCCATGCACATGGGCAAAGGTAAACAATGTCGTGTGGGACACTTGAGCATGGGCAAATCACCATATTTTGCCCAATTTCATTCTGAATCAGTTGAACTGATTTAGCTGAAGCATTCTGCAGGGGGAAAAAAATCTGAGGCAGATAAGTGGCATAGAAAATTTCAGTGTGAGTGGTTTAAGTTTGGTAAAATTACCATTTGAAAACAGGATCCTAGAATGGAAAGCATAAGGCAACGTAAACTATTCTATTATCAGCTCCTTTTATATGTTAATTTTTCTTTTAGGGAATGGCAATGCTCTGTGAAACAATAGAAGAATGCTGGGATCATGATGCAGAAGCCAGATTATCAGCTGGTTGTGTAGAAGAACGGATTATTCAGATGCAAAGACTGACTAATATTATAACAACAGAGGACATTGTGACAGTGGTCACAATGGTGACAAATGTTGACTTTCCTCCCAAAGAATCCAGTCTATGATAGTTATACTGGTTATGCATTCTGACCAACAGGACTCTGAACTGGAGCTGCTAAAGCTAATGAGATTGCTTACTGTTGTTACTTACTACATGAAATGAGGAATGGTAAGTCTTTTGGGAATGTTGATGAGACATTTTTCCAAACATGAATACATGAGACTTTACTGCATTCCCGTCTGACTGAGAAGTGGCAAAATATTAAGGAACTTAAATAAATGAAGAATATGGACCTATCTGGGCTAATCAAGTGTTTTAAAAACTGACATCAGATTTCTTAATGTCTGTCAGAAGAGACTAATTCCTTAAATGAACTACTGCTATTTTTTTTAAATCAAAACATTTCATTTCAGATTTAAAAAGGGTAACTTGTTTTTATTGCATTTGCTGTTGTGTTTATATAAATGACTATTGTAATGCCAATATGACACAGCTTGTGAATGTTTAGTGTGCTGCTGTTATATGTACATAAACAAAAGTAATCAAGTGGGATATAGCAAAGAGGCTTCCAAGCATTACTTAAACCTCCCTCAACAAGGTATACCTCAGTTCCACATCTGCTAAATTATGAGATTGACAACACTAACAGTCTGATTAATAAATTGATCCATGTTTTTTAAGTGCTGTATTACAAATTCATTGTTATTTTTAAAAGGGTAAGCTAAGCTTCATGCCAAGAGTAAATGGCCATTCCTAAAGCAGTGTTTTTAATCCCTTTTTTGTGCTAGCTTGTGTATAAAAAGTGCTAGGTTTGAAACAAAACTTTCTTCCTATTTTAGCTTAAAGTTTTTTTATCTCACCTCCCGTTCCCAAAATATTGCATACATTTTTACTGAATATTATTTAGGTTTGCTGTGTCTGAGGAATATTTGAAAATTTTAAGCATGACTTTTAATTTTATGTGAGCTATGACACTGGAAAGCTCTTAATTCTTATTCTTTCTAAAAAAGGCTTTTTCCCCCCTATTTATGTATGTAAAAAGTTCTGTATAGTGTATTTTGTTTCACTAAACTGTATGCAGTGTTCTGTATCACTGTTTCAGGATCACCTCAGGAAGCTTAATTACCCTCAACTCCTCACTCTCTCTGCTTTGAGATTTGCAACTTCTCTTCACTTAAGTTTGGTGCCATCGTGTTTGAGTGATAATTGATGTCTGTGATACATGGGTTCATCAGTTACGTTAAAAATGATAGCCACAGACTTCCGATGTAACTGCTTAAAATAATCAGGGATAACTTTAGTTATTATGCTATAATTTCAAATATGCAATGACTATTTAGAGGTAACGAACACCAACATAGGTAGCACAGTCTAGCAAAAAATAATAATAAAATTGCTTTCACAGCTGACTCCAACATTAGTTTTAGGGTTTAGGAGATCATGCCTTATATACTCTGTAACTTAAAAAACCTGAATTGACCATAGGTGCCAAAGTGCTTTTCAAAATTAATATTAACTAGTTATTTGATCCTTTACATTTATACAGGTCAAAGTTTAAAAAAAAAATTTCTAAAATACTCAAGTAATGAACCAACAATAGCCAGTATTATACTATGTATTTTGTCAGGTCATATTTTTAAATCATGCATTAGATTTTTAAGGAAGTTTTTAATGTCACAATCAGGAGCTCACTGTGAATGTTATCTTTAAACAGTTATTTGTAAAAACCACAGAATACACTCAATTTTACATATAATATGCACTTAATCTCTGGGAACAATAACATTATTTATAAACAAGATCTAGGTGACCATATTCTAAGCAGGGGGAGGGTGGAAGAAGAGTAATAGCAATGTTATTCATGCATAACATTCAATACAGTTCTGTTCGCTGTATGTCACTTACTCCTAGGGTTTCGTGGTAGCCATAAGAATCCTGCTTTATTGGTATAGGTGCAACTTGCTCATTTTGTTTATAAAACAAACTACTTGTGCACCCATTTTATTGATCTGATTTTCATTTTGCTTCCACCTTCGTTGCAGGGATACAATACCTTAAACATATATCAAGTGATCATGGCTAAAGAGAGATGAACAAAAAAATCATATTTTACTGAAAAATTGCATTGCTCTTTGATGTTTAAACCCAACACTGGCAAAGGTAGAAGGAACAGCATGGATGATATAAGGATCAGTTATCAAGATTCAATGCTGAAGTTATACCTAGCTAAGCACATGTCTGTATGAGCTTTGCATCCCCCATGCATAATCCTTTAACTTCTGCTGGTATGGGCCCTGGTGGCCATGCTCTTTGGGGGCTCTTTTGATGTTGCTAGTGCACTTTGTGTTTGCAAGTGCTGCAGGGACATCACAAAGCCGGAAATCACAAAGCCTGATTTTAATGGGATATTTATTTTCATAGAAATTCCCACAGTGTGTGAATATTGTACTAACTATTTTCTCATTTTTGACAGCATAGTACAGTATCTCACTGAAAAGGATGTTCATGGTAAAAGTGTTTTTTTTAATAATTGGTGAAATAACGAAACTTTGGTGAGCTGTTCTTATACATAAGATTTCTGTTTTGCAGGGCATTTTAACCCATCTGTGTTCCTTTTATAGTACAGTAAATATTGCTGATGTGCAAGTTAAAATGTTTGAGCCAGATTCATGAATGAGGATAAGAAAAAATAAGAACTAAGCTAGTGAAAATATTCTGGCATTACTTACTAGCAGAAGTAGTGACCATTGTCCCTCTTCGTACTTACAGCATGTGTGGTGGTGTGTGTATGTACATATATGGTCTATTCCGGTGGTTCACTGTATTTTGGCTTGTGAAGAAAAGTCAGTCCCTTGGCTCTCACTTCCAACTTGTTGGCTTTGCCTGTCTATTTAAATGAACGCTGTATAACTGCCACAGGACTGATGGATTGGCCAGCTTTTGGCTTTCCTTGAAGTCCAAGCCCTGCCTTTTTTTAGTTCATGTTAGATACTAGGAAATTTTTATATACCATGATGCATGACTCCTCTTTGTACACCTACTACTACATGTACCTTAGCATTTCAGATGAGACTTGTGTCTCAATTCTTGAAGTTCCTGAACTAGCGTTGTCATTCATGGTGGTGTTTTGAAACTATAAATCAGGATGGAAATTGACCACTTTGTACCTTCTATTTGAAATAGCAAAATTCATGTAGAGTAGCTTTAAGAGTTTTGGAGTGCCAGCTAAAATGTAAACAAACAGAAGTGAATATTTCTTGATTTCTCTTCTCAACCTTTTCAATGCATTTATTTTTATTAGGAACATTTGGTACAAAGTACAGAAAGCTATATGCAGGTTTATGGGCAAAATGATACAAGTAGCATCCTTGATGGAACATCATTTACCTCAGATATTCAACCAGCAGTACTTTTTTTTTAATGCAGTCTCAGTCCATAAATATTATTCGTTACCTCTCAAGATATTGGTAAGCAATTATTTTAGCTTTACTCTGTATTTATCTGTTTTGGGCACAGGTTGTTGTACTACTGTCAAATTATACTTGCTATTTTTCTGCAAGTATCAAAAACAAAACCCCAGCCCAGGATAAAAGTGATTGTTAAATATTGTATAAATAAAAATGTATGCTCTTTCTGCTCCTACCCCCAAAAGTTAAATAAAAATTAAGTGACTACTGTATTACTTGCATATGCCTTTTTTCAACTTTTCATACCTTCTCTTGGGGCTTGGAATCTAGGTGCATTTTGTGCTGTGACACTTGATCTCCAGAGACCTTGCACAGGAAAAGCTTAGAGAGGACCCCTTCTCCCTCTTCCTCCCCCCGGCCATATTTATAGCATTACAATTGAGAAGCAGAGTAGAGGCTAATTGATATTTCTTGCATTTGACATAGAAGGTAAATGTTTCCCTGCATTACTTACTAGGAGGCAGAATTCAGTTCAGTTTTCAGCAGGGTATTTGTTAACCAAACAGCTGCAAAAGACTGGGAGACACTCCCTTCCCTCTCCCTATAAATAAGAAGAGTGGAGATTCAGAACTGAACCCAAGAACTGTAGGTCAGCCGAAATAGTGAAAGCATTTTACTAGTCACTTTCAGTATCCTTTGAAATAACGCTTCTGTCCACAAATTTGGGTTTTATTACCCCCTACTGTGGATTTGTTTGGAGGCAACTTTTGGTATCCCACTCCATCAACCTCAACCATGGAAAAACAGCCAGAAAAGGTAAATGTCTTATGTGCTACTTGGACTATTTATCACTATTTCCCTTTTCTGGCAACTTTATATGGAAGCCAGTTGTACCAGCTTTTCTGGTTTTGTTAGATTATGCCCATCCCTGCTTTTCAGAAAATTACAGAGCTGATAATTAAGAACTGGTGCACTATAGTCACTGATAGAGTAGATTCCATAGTTTTGGCAGGAGTTTAATAACAGAAATTGAAGTTCTTTGTAAGGGAATAACTAAGTCTGTCTTAGAATAGATAAATTACTATTGTTCAAATTGAAAATGTTCTTACTGAGGTTAAATGATCATTCTGGTGGTTACTGGACTGGAGCCTTTGTACCTATGAACCACAAACCATCTTCAAGCCTCATGCCTCCTAATAGGGTTAAAGGGTATGACTGTTTAATAACTTAAGCTGGGATGTGTCACTGTGGTCTTAAGTCGATTAGACATACAAAAATGTGCATGGGTTGTATGCTTCTTGTTAGATCCAAGCATGTTTAAGGTCAGTTTTTATCTGAAAATGACACGTGCAGCCAGGACAAGTAAAAGAAATAAAAATAGTATACCTAGATCAGTCAGAACACTAAAACATCACACTTTGTGCATTGCAGAAAGTATGAAAGTGTTACTAATACAAGTCTGAGTTGGGAGGCAGTGAGAGACTGCTGGGGTATTTGAGGCACTGAAAAGGAACGTGTGTGTTCCTTGCTTTGCTCACAGGTTGTTTCTAAACAGTTAATCTACAATTCACCATGACTGTGGAGATAAAAGTATATAAACTGCAGAGCTGGTTTGGGAGATGCAGTACCTGACTGGCTGTCAACAGCTGATCTTCCCCTGGGTGGATTCCTCGGAGGAGACGGGAAGGGGAAGAAGAGGAGGAAAGAACACGTGAACACATGCTTTTGGTTGTGCATGTTCTGGTATGAAACTGGGAAGCATGACAATCTCTCCACCAGGGGCACAACTATAGGGAACACAGCTCCTGAGGGAATTCTGTGCCAAAAAATGTTTTGCACACTTAAGATTCTGCAAATTTTGCCAAATAAAGGCTCAAGCATCAGTGTGGGGAGTATAAGCCACTGACTGCACAAATGTTAGATCAACCTGCTGCCCTCTTCCCCCACGAATTTGGTGGTTAGTCTGCACTTCACCCTGACACTGAGGGCTAGGGTTGGGCTTGACTCAACAGCCTGAGGCCCTACATCTCCAGGCCAGGCACCCAAGGTGTGGACAGGCAATTTGGCCTAGCAGGTTCAGAAGGGGGTTCTGAGTCAGGTGGGGATCTGGCTGAAGGTGGCTGTAGATCCTTGACCTACCTGAAGAAAACCTAAACCCAACTGAACTATGGCAATTAACCAGAAAGTATTTTTAACTGAAGGCTAGGAAAAGAATCTAATCTGCTACTGGTGTTTAGACTAGGGATGAAATAGTATAGTCCATTAACTGATAAGCAAAAGCTTAACAGTTAATGGTAGAGACTGCATACTTTCTCCCCTTCCACTCCACTCTTGCCACTAAGTTTTTTTTAGCAGGCTGGCCAGCAGCCCAGCTCAGTCCTGACTTGCACTGGGTCTGGGACCTCCCTGCTATGGTTCTGCAATTAAAGTGTATTAGCAGCCAAGCAGACAGCCAGCCCAGTTCAATTCTAGCTTGTGCCAGGTCCCGCAGCTCAGACCTGCAAACCTCTCCCTCCACCCTAACAGGGGCTACTGCCTCTATCGAAGGCTACAGCATGGGGTGACAAGCAGCTAGTCTGCGAGGGGAGCTGGCATCCACACTGCTGCTTGACATCCCCTCTTGTATCAGACAGCAGCATGGGAGTGGCAGGGGGTTCCTCAAGGGTGGAGCCAGAGCACACTCGCTCCTGGCCTCACGGCTGAGGACTATAGAACAGTCAAGTAACCAATACGACTTCATGAGGTTAATAGACTATTCAATTAACCAATATTTAACAGCCCTCGTTTAGACTACCCACACATTGTAAACATCCCATTCAAGTTTATTTTCAGTACAATGAAATATTTGACACGGATGCTATATTTAAAAAAATTCTGTATAACTTTCAGAGAATAATTTCAGTGCATGATACTCAGAATACAATCAACTTACTGTATTTCACGCTGATGTGCTTTAATAAGCTTCAGAAAGTTCACAACCAACTCAGTGAGGATGTTGCCCACTGTTTCACATCTGTTGGGCAGTTTGGATACACCTGCAAAGCGTCCATGATTTGACTATTGTCCAAAAGCAGCTTCATTAGTTGATATTCTCTCTGGGCACGCACAGATGGTCCATCTACTGGTTTTATTAACTCTAGTTGTAGTAAATGTTCAAACGCCTACAGGGAGGAAAAACCAAGCCAGTCCACCGTATGAGTACACATTTTCTAGGCTACAACTACCATTCTGAATAGCTCATTATGACACCCAGAAGTAGTAGCAACTACTATGACTGAAATATAGCTACTTATACTCATTTTGGTTGCTCAGTTTTTGCAAGAACAGGACATTTAAGTTTCTCAGGCTTGATATAGTAACTGGATTTTTTCAGAATGTCTGAGCAGAATACATGCAGGGTATACTAACAGTTCAATATGTTCCACTCCATTTTGTGCACACAACTCATTTTTAAAAGGCTTTGTTCAATCTTGATTTTCCTGCAAGAGCAGGGGTTGGCAACCTTTTCTAATTAAAGAAACAAACTACATCAAATTTCAGAGCAAGTGGTATAAAAATGCCCATTTGCATGACTGAAAATATGCAACTTAATATTGATAACTGACAACAACAGAATAAATGAAACATACTCAAACTTTAATGGGACTTGCATCTTTTCATATGATGTAAACTTCAAAGAAATAACTGGTGAATCTAACTTCATGCATGCATTTAGGCTGTCTTCTGTCAATCTTATGGCAGGGGATGTTGGAATGAAGGGGACTCAGGGCAGGTGTGGGGAGGGAGGGATGCAGGAGTCTTGTGATGCTGGCCAGATGGAGGCTTGTTGGGCATAATATTTTACTTTATTTAAAAACGAAGCCTGGCCAACAAAAGATTTCAGCATCTGTATTTATGCTAGGCGTGGGAAATCTTTTTTGGGTCTGGGGCCATTGATTTTGGGTGAAGGAGGGAGTTGTAACGTAAGTCTGGAAGGAATTGTGATCTGGTGCAGGGGATGGATTAGGCTTGACGGGGGCAGAGGGTTTGGTTTGAGGGTGTAAGGGGTTTTGAGTAGGAGAGGAGGGACACTGGGACACTCACCAGTGAGACTTGCAGCCCAGCTCAGTTCTCTGGTAGGAGCTTCATCTCCAACCACTGGCTGTATGGCCATGTGCTCAGTGACTAAGAGCCTGAAGGGAAGGGGGAGTGGTGCTTTTCATACTGCCTGTTCTTGAAACAGGTAGCTTCCATTGGCCAGAAACAGCCAATGGAATTATACGGGGGCAGAAGCAGCCAAGAGGCACCACTTCCACCTCCCGTTCTGGCTCACACCTTAGTTGTGGAACACAAATGGCCCCACAGCTGCTTTTCTGAGCAGGGGAATCTGTCTAGGGGGCTCCCTGCTGTGTCCACAGCTGGACCGTTTTGCCCAGACCTGCTGTGTAATGCCAGCACAGGCTCCCTACTGCTGGGGAGAGTAAGGGGGGGACTGGGCTCGAGCTTCAAAAGAGCCATATCTGACTTGAAAGCCATTGTTTGCCGACCCCTGTGCTAGAGCTTGAGGGGATCAATGTAAATTTGAAAAAAGTGGCTTGCTAGTTTCAAGCATGCTGTTTTTGTACCTCTTCAGCCACAGTAAGTACAGAAGAGACAACTTAGTTAAAAGTTTGAAGAATCATTTAATTAATTCACTGAGTTATGAAACTTAGTTGATTGCTCAATTTAATCAAGACAGCCTGTATAAAAACTGGATAGTAAGATCCAGTTGCTAGGGCTCATCTAGAAAGGGAGAACTGAAAAGAGTGCTCTATCCCAGCCATTAGTAGTATTTAAATTTATAAAAAGTGAGTTGGAACTTTTCCACTAAAATCTCATTGAGATTTGAATGAACCCAAGCTAGACTTATGTAATTTACAATATTAAAGATTAATAAGATAGATACAAAGATTTTAAAGGCATTAAATTTAATACAATACAAATTAGTCTTTAATTTCTTGTGTCTATTGCTTAACTCATTTTAAGGAAGGAGATTCTAAGCTTACAAACTCAACTCTGCATTTCCTGATTTGATTTCTCAAACTTGAATAGCAACAGCTAGTTTACTCCATCGTATGAGAGTGACTACCTGGGTGGTAGAGATGCTTTTCAGTTTGAGGCAATTATTTCCCCAAGAAGAAAAGCAAATGGATGAATGAGTTGTGAAGGTTATCCTACAAGAGTTGCTTATTTACCACTACATAGAAGAATTTTCAGAAATCCAAGTAGTCATTTTAACCCTTAGCAAAGTGAGACTTGCAGTACAGCCTTGGAGCACATTAACTTTTAAAATCCTATTTATTCACTCCCCACAGAAAAAGGCTTTTTTTGTAATATCTAGCAAGTCAAGTTAAGGTTTTTCCCATTGGCTCAGGTATGTGCTGTATCCTCATGGAAGAAGAAAGTGTCTATTCTTATATGAAAACCTCCTTTCCCTGAGGAATGTAGTCCACAGATCTATTATGCCAAGTCTTCAGTCTACTTACACTTTTCCAAGCACAGCCATACCTGTCTGTTTCCTGGCACAAAAGGCTGTGACCACACTTAAAGGCCCAGTCAGTTTGAAAAAGCTGGGAGTCAAAACAAATCAGCACAACTTCTCCACTATGCTGCATTTTGTGAAACTAGAAATTGAGGTTGAAAGGCTGAAAACACTGGAGTCTCATCCAAATCTAAATAAAGGCCAGGGAGAAAATGATGGCAGCACAACTCATTCAAAAGTGAGCAGCAGCTTTGTTTTGTTTCAGTTTTGCTTTAACAGCAAGGAACCTTGTATCTGCCAGCACAGACAAACTGAACTATGTTCAAGGAGTGGACCACACCTTTCTCTGTGACAAATAGGTCTAATTTTATTTAGGGATGTTAAGTAGTGATTAATTAGCTAATTGAATAGTCGATGGAATTTCCCAATAAACTTACGCTTAGTAGGTAGTAGACTAGTCAAGTAGTCACTTAGGGTGTGCAGACTACAGGGTGTTCGAAAAAAGTGGCCTTTTATCGAAGAAGCTTTACCTGCATCTAAACTGCTGCCGTGTTCTCTCAAAATTAAATAGAAAGAACGTAGAAGTTTTGACTGCAGAAAACCTCATTTTATGAGGAATAATGTCTTTTTTCGAAAGTGCTCTTTCGAAAAGAGGCATTATTGAACGCAAACAGTGCTTTTCTTTTTTTTTTTTTTTTAAAAGAGCATCCAGACTGCCCGGCTCTCTTTTTTGAAAATACTGGTGGCTGACTAGACGATCTTTCAAAAGAAGCTTTTTCAAAAGATTATTTCGAAAAAGCCACTTTCGAAAGAGGCTTGTAGTTTAGACGTAGCCTATCATCCCTACTTTTATGCCCAAAAGATGCAGGTAGGATAAAAGGTCACCAAGAGACTGGTACCTTAGTTCACAATACAAACATTATATCTAAAAAGCTTAATTAAGCTACTTTGAGACCTGTTGGGTTGAGAGGCATTGGCCTTTAAACTTAATTCTGAATCAAGACTAATACTACCTGTCCTACATCTTCTATCAGAGTAAGATGAGGGCAGCAAAAAAACATACATGCCACAAAAAGCAACTCTTCAACATCTGCCAAGTATCTGAATATTGTCTCTGAATAAAAGGTTCTATATCAACTGAAACACTGCCACTCCCTAGAAGGACTTACCGTCTAAATTCAGATCATACCAACTTATTCGTTGATAAATAGCAACAGGTGCTTGTGTTCAGCTACTCAATGCCTTAAAAATAAAGTCCATTTTCATAAGGTATGTAATGTTTCTGGTTCAGTAAATCAGAAGTAATACCCTTCCCTTCCCCCCACAGTTGCCTTTATTTAAAAGGTATAAAGAGCTACACAACCCAGATAGTGGATGGCAGTACAAGTACCATGTGTCCAATCACTTCACTCAAAATAGCAAAATCCCTTAGATCTTCAACTATGGAACAGAAATATTTTTAAAAGTACTTTCTATAAAACTATAACCCCAATACAAATCAGTATTTAGGTACGCAAAGAAACAAGTTACAAACTAAGGGGGTTTACCTTCATAACAACAGGTTTCTCAAAGTTGTACATGGAATGTGCTTTCCGTTGTATGAACTTCTGAAATTCTGTACCAAGGAAAGTGATATTACTTAAGTAACAGTAAAGTGATATTTATATATTTTAAAGGTGATAATGCTTTCATCTCACCATTATAGACCATTTGAAAATTAAATGGTTCTCCTTCATAAACATCATTTAAGTGTTTCATAGCTATGATTAAGCAGATTTCCAGCACAGATAAACCTATATAGAGAAAAAGAAAGTTTTAAATATTCACAAACATACATGTTTCTGGGCACATGAAAAATACAGGCATATTTACAGTATAGCATTACTTTGATAGTATCTTTACTTGTTGATGTGCGTCTTATATTATACACACATACATACATACATACATACATACACACACACACACACACACACACACACACACACACATTTAAGGGCTGAACAACAGCTCCATAAACAGACTAGATTAAACTTCCTGCTATTTTGTTAAATGTGAATACAATAGGTATTTGAAATAAAAGTGACTCACCTTTTGCTATTATTTCAAGTCTTGTAAGAGACTGGGCTGCTTTAATTTTGTTTTCAATCTGATTACTTCATATAGTCAGCTTTATACAATTTTGGAGGGAGATGGAAGTGAACTAAGATGACGTGTTATCAAATATTATAGGAGTAAAGCTCTAAGAATTAAATTCCATTCCTTCCAAAAGCCTGATAAATTGGTGTACTGTGTTAAAAGCGCCGGGCATTTGGGAAACGCTTTAAGATACCTAAAGCCTTCCATCTTAAAGCCCTAGAGAAGCTCAATATCAATTTTAAGTTAAATTGTATCTAACCGTCAAGTTAATCTTCCTTTCAATAAGTGTATCACCATCCTCCAATTACATGAACACCTGAGCTCAAACAATTAAGTTATAGCATGTGACATTGATCTTGGTGTATGCATTGTAGTTGTAGCCACATCTGTCCCAGCATATTAGAGACACCATATAGTCCAATAAAAAAAACATGCCTCACCCAAGTTTTTTGGAGTGTTTTTAAATGAACAAGACAGAACTGAACAGCAGCACTGTGTAGCTCAAACGCTTATCTTTTTGAAACAAGCACTGTCACAACTAATAGTATCCATCATGAAAATCTCAGGGGGGAGGCAGAGGCCAAAGCCAGCAATTAATTTTCGGTTTATATGAACATGCATCTTTCCTTGTCATATTACTAGTAAACTGACTAAAAAAGAACAAACTTCTCTCACTATAAAACCAAACTGAAATTTGAGTCTTATAGTGTGATCCCTGAAACTTAAAATGCAAACACACAAACCTACGTTGTTAGGCCAACAGGGCAAATGAATTCTAGAGCTGTGGCCAAAGTATTTTGAAACAAATAATGCAAGCATTAACTAAAGAACAGCCTGTCTTTTGGATACCTAAGACCAGAAGTTTATTGTTCGGTTTATACCCATAATCAATAACAATAGGCACAGTTATGAAACTTGGGGCAATATAGGGGGTGGCTGAATTCTATTGCAGCTGAAGTTAGAGCAGTCCTCAGATAGGTCTTCCAGGAGAGCTCACCTGCAATAAGCCAATGGATGTGTCCAAAATACAGATTGTTACAATGCCCACAAAAGAGAAGCATTTTGAGACATCATCTGAACATACAGAAACAGCTGAGGATCCAAAAAGACTTACCATATGTACTTGATGATAAGCAGATTTTGTTTTGGTACAAAATGATGTGGTAAAGAATGGGGTTTGGTTTATAAATGGGTCATTCCATCCACTTTTTTTTTTTAAACTGGGGCTGCAGGGAGCAGTGTTGGCAAACTTCAGTTCCCAGCCCAGCAGCGCAAACTTCTGACAGGCTGGGATGTTTTATGTGCCTGGAGTGTCTGCAGGCATGGAGCCCCTTAGCTCTCATTGGCTGCTGTTTGTGGTTAGGCGCTGGCTACTTCCCACTGCTCCTGTTGGCCAGAAACAGCAAATCACAGACAGGGGGATCTGCATCTACTCCAGGTAAACAAAATGTCCCGATGCACCAGCAGCTTATGTTGAAGAGCTGGGACCAGAAGTTTGCAAACAGCCGATACACAGTTGGCTTATGAACAAGATCACTGCATTTAACTTTTGTTTTTAATTTGGAAGGAAGTCAGTTTATGTATGAACGGGCTTATGATGGAGTTTATACAGTAAATAACCAACTCTGGTAGCAAACCAGAAGCATGTGCTTGGTTGTTGTCTTATCACCCCCAGACTAAGGAAGAGGCAGGAAAAATTTCTCAGTTCAAGTTGGCTCCCTCCTGCAGCACTATCAGATGTTTTATTGGTTCTATTCAATCAGCTCATTCATTTAAACCCGTCCTGTTTAGCCATTGGAAAAAGTATCTTCTAGACTGATGAAAGGCAGAGAGAGAACTTCATGTGAGCAGTATACTAATAGCACCACATTCCAAGCCCATCTCACTCTTCCCTGCTGGTCTTAGACAATACAAGTGATAAAACAGAATAATGATGTAACTTAGGAAACTGCTTCTCTGCTTCAAAGGGTACTATCTAACAGTAACTTGTGGCTCTTTTTACAGAGAAGATTATTTCCTCATCCCACGATGAGGAAAGACAGATGATCAAGAGCAAGGATCCTCATACTTCCATTTCTATGCTATTCTTTTTCTGTACGTAAGGAACTTCTTTTCCCCATACACTAATTACAACACCTTTGACAAGACTTAAATTCTAATTTAAAGTTTGTAGTATCCCCTAAGCCACTCCAGAGCCCACCTCCCTACCTTTAAGGAATCCCTTATCTTGCTTTCCTAATACAGGAGCCAGAAACATTCCTGGGGCAACTGGTACTGCCTGCCTGGCTGCTGCCTGCATAGGCGGGGAGGACATGAAGCCACCACCCTGTGCTGCCCAGGCAAATGCCCTATCCTCTAAGCCACTCTGGAACCCATGCCACCTCCCAATTTCAGGCTGTCTCTTATCCTGCCGCCTTAGTTCAGAGAAGGGGAACTAAAATGATTAGGGATTTGGAATGGGTCCCATCCGAGGAGAGATTAAAGAGACTAGGACTTTTCAGCTTGGAAAAGAGGAGACTAAGGGGGGATATGATAGAGATCTATAAAATCATGATTGGTGTGGAGAAAGTGAATAAGGAAAAGTTATTTACTTGTTCCCATAATATAAGAACTACAGGCCACCAAATGAAATTAATGGGCAGCAGGTTTAAAACTAAAATAAAAGGAAGTTCACCACACAGTGCACAGTCGACCTGTGGAACTCCTTGCCGGAGGAGGTTGTGAAGGCGAGGACCATAACAGGGTTTAAAATAGAACTAGATACATTCATGGAGATTAAGTCCATTAATGGCTATTAGCCAGTATGGGTAAGGAATGGTGTCCCTAGCCTCTGTTTGTCAGAGGGTGGAGATGGATGGCAAGAGAGAGATGTCTTGATCATTACCTGTTCGGTTCACTCCCTCTGGGACAACTGGCATTGGCCACTGTCGGCAGACAGGATACTGGGCTAGATGGACCTTTCGTCTGACTCAGTATGGCCGTTCTTAAGTTCTTAATACAGGAGCTTGGGGCAGCTTGTATGTGCTGTCTGGCCTCTCCCAGAGTCAGAGACCAAGAGTCAAAATATCTGATATAAAAACAGGGAGTACTTGTATCAACCAAACACCTAAACTAGAGGACCAGAGACACTTCATTTGTTCAGAAGTAAGGAACAGGATGTAATGGAAAAATAGTGGATGGAGCCTACCCAGAAGCAGAAAGATTCCCTCTAGTTTAACTCCCTGGTAAGGACTTGTGAGGAAGACGACACTGCTTTATGAACTGTGTGTGGTGAGAGAGAAGAACTTAAGGGCCATGACATTAGAACCTTCGCAGATCTAAATTCACTAAAATTATTCAAATTTAAAATACTGGAATTTACCATGTACGATGTTCGCTTTTGAGTCCATTCTGCACAACTTGCTTGCTTCAAGAAGATCTGCTCCAGTCATAAATGGATGAGATACTGTTATGCTACTTAAAGCAAGCATCTGAAAATAAAGTGAGAAATTTTTCTTCTACTGAAATACTGATTATCAAATACATTCCATACTTGTGACATTCAATATGCTTCCTAAAGTAATCAATTGGAAATGTGTATAAATAAAGTTGGCATATGCATTACTTTACATTGGAAGTTACAACACAAAGTGGCTAATAATCTAGTAGCTAATGCTAGGATAGTTCATTATTACAGCTCTCAGACTCAGCTTGAGTTATGTGTTTTGAAGACAATACGGGAGAAAGAAAAACCTTAGAACTGAGTAACAGTACAGCCTGTCCACATTTAGACTCTAAATGAAATATGACAATAAGACAGCAATGGTTCAACAAATGGATGCAATGAATGCTGAATGGCTGAAACACAAATTTGAATAAATAATTGGCGTAAATGCTACTATCACTGAATAAGCTTTAGCTTGACCATCAATAAATTAGCCTATTAAGTATGAAAGAAGCAGCTGACTATAAACTCAAACAATGAAAACTCATGATCTGTAAGTGTATCCTTAAATGAAAGCCTTTTGTCATAAACGAGCAAAATTATTCATATTTAATAAATAATCGAATTTGAATAAAATAAGATGTCTCAAGTAAAGCTTAATTAACTTGTATAGAAAATACTGCAGCTTATAGGCATGAACAATTTCATGAGATTTCACAATGTTTTAGAAACAAATATCAATACATACCAAAAGCATGTGAAGTGATCGCAGGTCCTTGCTGCAGTGGAAATGATTTCGTAGCACATCTTGCACAGTTTTATCTTCTGAAAGAGACTAAAAATGGAATTAAGATACACTGGTAGAATTACTGCACTAGTTCTTACCCAACTGGAAAAATCTGTCTGCTAATCAAATCTATTTTTATTATCTAATATTAATATTTGTGGAATCAGAACACAATTCTGAAAAAAAATATCACTGAAATTTCTTAAGGGGGAAAGGCAGGCCCCTAGAGAAAAAGTGAAATTACACCTTGTTTTTATTGGACTAGGTAGTAAAATACTGAATATACCACCATGAGATGAGTCCCCTTCCAGCTCTGATAGGCTACGTCTACACTGGCCCCTTTTCCGGAAGGGGCATGTAAATTTCATGAGTCGTAGTAGGGAAATGCGCGGGGGATTTAAATATCCCCCGCGGCATTTAAATAAAAATGTCCGCCGCTTTTTTCCGGCTTTTAAAAAAGCCGGAAAAGAGCGTCTACACTGGCCCCGATCCTCCGGAAAAAGTGCCCTTTTCCGGAGGGTCTTATTCCTACAAAGTAGGAATAAGATCCTCCGGAAAAGGGCACTTTTTCCGGAGGATCGGGGCCAGTGTAGACGCTCTTTTCCGGCTTTTTTAAAAGCCGGAAAAAAGCGGCGGACATTTTTATTTAAATGCCGCGGGGGATATTTAAATCCCCCGCGCATTTCCCTACTACGACTCATGAAATTTACATGCCCCTTCCGGAAAAGGGGCCAGTGTAGACGAGCCCATATAGTATAGTACATTCAATGTTTTGTCTTATTATATGATCCACTATTGAACTTCTAGATAGCTATATATACACCTAATGAAAAAAGGTTATTGAAAGAAATTCCTGTGTTTTCTCATTTGTATCCATATTTTAATTGTTTTAAACCCATAAATGATTCTTAATAATTTAACTAGCTTGAAACAAAGTTCAAGCTTACCCTCTCTGATTAATTTACCTACTTTGGCCAATACAACAGTTATTTGTAAGTCAGCCTCTCCGCAGACAAGTTTATATAGTCTCTTTAAATAAGAAATACTCCACTGTAACTGCATGCTATTGAGACTATTTATATGCCAATTCCCACTCCTGAGTGCGGACTTAGGTCTTGTCTACATTATGACATAAGCTGATCTAATTGACCAGTTAGGCTACATCTACACTGCAAGGTTTTTGCGCAAAAACCTGCAGAGCGTCCACACGTCAAATGCACTTTTGCGCAAGTAAATCGGCAGTGAAATGGCAGAACAGAGGGCTTTTGCCAGTGTAGGTAAACCTCCTTTTACGAGGCATTACTCCTTTTTGCACTACAGCTATTGCGCAAAAAGGCAAGGGTGGATGCTCCACAGGGGTTTCTTGCGCAAAAAGAGCCGATCTGAAAAAGCACAGGTGCTCTGATGACCATTCTGTGAATGGCCATCAAAGCTTTCTTGCGCTAGAGTATCCATGAGGTGCGGACGTGCTCTCGCGCAAGAAGTTTTTGCGCAGAAACTCTTGGGCAAAAGGTGTTTTGTGCCAAAAGCCTGCAGTGCAGACGTAGGCTTCATCTCACTTTTTCTAAAAACTAAATGTTTCAACTTTGAAGCAAAAAGAACAAACATATGTTATTTCACATTGTTATTACAACCCTCTGTGTAATTTTGATACTAAGAAAGGATTGCAAACACACTATTTTAAGGTACAGCAGTTTAGCAAATTCATGAATTTTTAACTTTTTTTAAAATACTGCAATGAGAAAAAAGTTAATTATTTCATTACTATCACCTTCGTTTCAAGTTACCTGAACATTCTTATTCCATTTCTGTGTGAAAGTCTTGTCTGAAAACTCTGCAGGTAGATATAGCTGCTCTTTAAATATTTTTAGATATTGTTTAAAATCAAACGAATTCATCAAATATATCTGTCGGTGGGAGAACCTTGACTTTACTCTCTTTTCCAAGAGTTCCAAAATATCCTTGTAAAAATAAAAATGGAGATAGTCAGTGGAACAGTCTTCTATACTGAAAGTACAGAACAAATAGAAAAAATTGGCTTATAAATTGTGTTTCATAATTTAAAGTTTGATTAGTAACAAACTTAATGCTTTACAATATAATGGATAACTTTTTTTTTTAAATGCCCAACTACACATCATTTACTTAAATCATGCACTACAGTACATCATACACAGTAATTAGCTGCTGGGATACACATTTTTCCTTTGGGTTGTATTCAAGACAGTTAAGCCACTGAACCAGGGCTATACATGTGTAAGTTGATGGCTGTCATGTGTCACATCTTTTGGAAGGCTGAACCTAATTTTGTCAAAGATTTCAAAAGTCAACATTTCTTTTTTAGGAGAATAATTCTAGTGTACCACAAAATAGACTGCTTTTGATCGGCAGGAATAATCAGATTTTCTCTAGAGAGGTAACAAAGCTGGTCATCAAAAAGAAATAAAAGGCAATTGGCATTTGTCTATTAAGAGCAAAATTAAGTACTGCTGCCCTAACTACACTCCCATTTGCATCCAAGAAGGTTTACTTGACTTCCAACCTTTTTACTTGCCCTGAAATCAGGAAGATTTAGGCTTTGTTAAAAATGAATGAAAGCATTTCCAGAAAAAAAATGAAATAAAGACAAATTAAAAGTAAGTGCAGTAGTAGGACAAAACACTGAATCTTGTATACACAATCTGATGACCCACTGTCTATCAACCTATTCCCATGAAATCTACTGAGATTCTCTGAAGAACTTGGACGATTGTTAAAAAATAATTTTGCTCATAAATCCAATTAAGATAAGTTATTGTCAGAGACTGTAGTGGACTAAGGTAACAGGAACCTTTATATTAGAAGAAATGTTGGCATTAACTACTTAGTTAAAACAGGTCCAATATTAACCTCATGTAATTTGTCCATTAGAAACTACCCAAAAGCAAAAGCATCTCTATCTGGGGTTGTGAAAGCCGCATTTCTTTATTGCTTTGTCATTATGCTCCCATTTTCTCTATTGTTTATATGTATGGCTCAGTCTGGTTCTTTGATTGTTTGTCTCCTGTATAATTAATTATTGCTGGGTGTAAACCAATTAAGGTGATGGGATATAATTAGTTAGATAATCGCATCACAATATGTTATGATTGGTTAGATGAATTTCAGTAGAATGATAGGTTAAGGTATACCTGAATATATTACTATATATTTTAGGAAGAAAATGGGAGTGGGGGGGGCGGGGGGGAGGAGAACAGGAACGGGAAAGGAAACTGAATTCATGCTTGGTGGTAGCTAACTCCAGTAACCACTGAAGTGTTTGCATCTCTGAACTTTGGGTATGTTTGTTCTCTGTTCATGTGAGAAGGGAAGAAGGATAGTGAAGGGATAAGCTAACAACTGTTCTTTCGTTTTTGCTTGCTCATGTCCATTCCACATTAGGTGATCCCGAGCAATACCCACGAAGGCATGTAATTCACTGACGCATTGATTGTAACACAGCTCTGCCGAACCCAGCATCACCTCTGACCTGATGAGCGATGATATGAGACAAACGTGTGAACAGAGGACCATCTTGCAGCTCTACAGATGTCCTGGATTTAGACTTGTGCCAGCAAGACCACCAAAGATGGCTTTGTGCTATAATCAATTGGCCTTTGATGATTGAGGACAGTGAGAACTTTGCCTGCTCGTAACAGGTCTTTATGCAAGAGATTATACAATTTGAAATCCTTTGTGATGTAACTGGCGAGCTCCCTTGAATCCTGCTGCCAGTGCCAAAGGTCCCGTGACTGAAGAGGGCCCCATCTTCCAAATGCTTGCAGAATCTGTAAATGTTCCAGTGATGCAAGGGTCAGTCCCAATGTTCCTGCTGGGACGTGTGTGCCTCTGTGGGTCTGCCCCAAGTAACGGGTAAGTCCACCTCAAATCCCACTGCCAGTGCCGAGGGTTTAGTGATGTAAGAGACCTCTGTTCTAAATGCCTCACTAACTCCAAGGCATGATGGCTTCAAGCAGGTGAATGGTGGCAGGACATCCCGTGCAATGCAGAGCAGTGCCACTGGAGAGAGGGCAGATGGTAAAGCCTGCCTGGAGACCTTTCCCCAAGATCTGAACATTGCTGGGGCCAACGTGAGCAGAACGTGAGTGTCAGGATCTTTTGTGCAGCCTGGAAAGGTTTCAATGGCACCTGAAGCTGGCAAATGTTCACCTCTGTATCCAGGCAAGGAACCGGGTGGGCTACATTGCTCAACACGAGCTGAGGCCCAAATGAGGAGATGAGCTGCCTAAATGTGGATCTTAGCTTGCCCTCAGCCCTGTCCTTACCCTTGTGGGAAGTAGGAGATTGTCCTCTAGTGACCTTTTTCAGCTTCTTGGTCAGGGTCTAAAGATGGGGATTAGTGCCAGCTCCTTGACTGTACCAGCGGGGAACTACATATAGACACCATGGTGCTGGATGCCAAGGACTTCTGCTCCAGGGCTGGAGTGTGTGATCTGACACTCTCTCTTAATCGTAGGCTTAAAGAACTTACACATGCAACACTTGTGGCTTATGTGCACATCACCAAGGCACCCGAGACAACTGCTATGCAGATCATTCATGGGCTTAGATTGTTTGTAGTGATGGCAGGGCTTGAAACCTGGGGATCAAGGCATGTCCCGCTCCCCAACTAAGTTCCAGAGGGGACTAACAAAACTCTTAGCCCTTAGCAGAAATTACTCAATTACTGTTCACACTGAATTAATAAGGACTCTGCTTCATACAAGTGAAGCCTAATCAATACTAGTAAGAACTGTGAATGTATCTTGAACTATCACTGGCAGTAAGAAAAAACTGAGGGTGGGGGGAGCTGGTGGTGCCCTTTATACTATGCTATGCAGGCACCACTCCAGAGGGTGCCACAGCCACTCCCCTTCTGAGTGAAAAGCTTCTAGAACCAGTGGCCACGGCCCATTTGTTTGCAGCCTGCAGTGTGGTTTCGGATTACACGGCACTCAACATGTGGCCACGAAAGCGAGTGGTTTTCTGTTAATATGCATTTTAGTAGTTACATTCCTGGACTGTCATTGCTCATTAAAAGTGCTGGCATATGGGTGGAAATCGGGTAAATATTGCATTTTATTAATATCAGCATAACTGACTTAAAAGGGGTCTGCACATTGTGTAGTCTTGCATTAATCTTTGTATTCATGCCCATTAGTGTAAAAGAAGCTAATTGTATATATTTGCGTATATATATTTGCAACCACGCTTAAGTTGCGGCCCTTAGCATGTGCTGTGAGTATCATTGTGACCCCTGGGGCTTCCAAAGTTGAGTAGCCCTGGTTTAAAGTAATGTTTGTTTAACCAGCTTTTAAAAACTTTTAATTTGCATTCCACAAAGACATACCGTAGTTATGCATAGATTTAGTTTTTAATGATAAACCCTTATATTTTACAAAGTCAATGTAAAAAAAGCCTGAAATACTTTACCTTCTAAAATTAATCTAGATCAGAAGCCTTCTCTTTTATAATTATGGCAGCGTTATAGTAGCAATTATTGGTGAAAAAGGTTTGCTTTTTAAAAAGCATTTGTCTTCGTACTGTACTACAAAAGATAACAGCAGCATGATCCAAGTTTCTTCTCCTGCTCAACAGGGAATGAGGGAAGGAAGAAACCAGCAGCCTTGATAATGAAAGATGTGTAATGGCCAGTATGAAACAAGCGAGTGGGGTTGGATCTCACAATTCAGTCTCACTTAAATCTAATCATAAGCATTGCTTATGAACAGTTTCACTGGATTGGACAATGTTATGAGAATGGATGACACATGGATACTGAAGATGGTCTTCTATGGCCACCTTGTTTGTAGAAAATGTTCTACTGGCAATCAGTATAAGTGTTATAAAGATATTTTAAAGGCCAATGTGAAACCATGCAGCTTATCTCTCAATGATCTGAAAACGATAGCTCAAGACAGACTGCTCTGGCAGCAAATGATTGCACACATTCTCCAACATTTCAAGAGTCAATGTATCTAGACATTACAAGAAAAGCATAAGACTCAAAAAGAGTGCATAGCACCCACAAATGGTGGATTTTTGAGACACATCTGTTATCAGATTTGTTGACCAAGGACTGGCTTAGTTGTTTACCAGGGGCATCACAGAAGACCTGATCCGAATAACTGAAGACTCAGTCCATCATCTTCAGCACCACAAAAGATATCTAATTGATAGTATTGTAGGTGGGAAAAAAATTAGAGATGGATTAACATAGCCCCTGCAGGGTTTAGCAGTAAAAGAACTCCCATATTTTTGCTCTCTTCTCAGGAATAAGATTTTTTAAGCAATAAAACTGAAGCTACATAGAACAAAAAAGCAGAGTTCCAAAAAACAAATTAACATAATAAGGCAAGCCAAAAGAGTGGCAGCAGAACTACTATTGAGTATGAGCCTATTATTTATGTAATTCCTGAAACATTTAGTTTTACTTATTTTAGTAGTTCTTTATATTAATCAGAGACCAACAATAAGCACTACTCAGTTGTTTTATGTCCCCTAGGTCTCAAGAACATAGAAGTGGATACACAGTTTTGGGTTTGTGTTTTTCCCCCAATCATCTGAAATGCCAGGGCATTCTTCTTAGATGGTGTCAAAATGGTTTGAGGTCATTTCTACTGCTTATTTTAAAAAAAAATTTGTGGGGGACAGTTTGCTAATATAACCTGAAGATAAGCCTGTCCACAAACAAGTCCATTAAGTGAGGTGACCGCTGCTTTTATTCCTGAAGTAAGAGTCTGGTTAAGACATAGGAGAAATTGATATAGTACTGCCATTGTTTCTATAGAATTAGCTTTAATAGCCTTGACCACTGTCATTTATTTTTTATAACTTTTAGTACATGTTTTGGTGAGATGATTAATCTTTAAGACAAATATTCCATGGTGTAGTTCTAAGAAAAAATGTGCTTACTATTAAATCTGAAAGAACTTCCTTCATTTTCTTAGTTAAAAAGATTACTGGAGCATATTCCTGTTTTCCTACTTCTGTTCCCATTTGCTCTGAATATTTAGCATTTTATGTCACTTTCAGTACAGATACAAAGTAATAAAATATTAAAACACTATGTAAGAGGTAAAAATTTCCAAAGCTCTCTCTATAAGTCATGAGTCTTGAGAATAAAAATATGACAAGCATATGAAACATTACAGATGTCAGGAATATAAACTCTATAAAACAATAAAAAGCAAAGCATCTTACTTGTCTACATGTAAGTCCAATAATAGTTACTGGAGTCTGTGCTGATTGGGATATATCAAAGAGGTTATACAGTAATGTCTGGTTTTTATGATGAACAAAGAGGTCAAATTCATCCAGTATAAACAGCACTGGACAACTGTTCTCTCGGTCACCTAAGACAGGAATTAAAAATATCATATTACTGAACTGGTAAGTACATAATCGATTTCTTACCTTTGCCACACTTTTATTCTAATGTGACCTCAAATTTTAGCCTGTTTATTGAATACTTACTTATTCATAGGGCACTCATCTCACATGTATTTGTTAAATGCTAGGGTAAATTATAATTATTTAGCTTAAAGTACTGCTGAGGGTAAAGTACTGTTTAGTTCCAAATAAAAATAAAGTAAAAAGACAATTAAGATATCCATTTATCATTTTAATATTTTAAAAGGCCATATCAGTTCTCCTCATGGGCACCAACAGACTGATAAAAGCATTGCAAAAATCTAGATGCACATCCACTAGGGATGTTAAATATCGGTTAACTGAACAGGCGAGTAACTTCATGAATTCTTATTGGTTAGTCCACTACTCTATAGTCCCCAAGGACATGGCCAGCAGACAGTGTGCTCCAGCCTCACTTCTGAGGAGCCCCCTGCCTCTGTATCACTGGCAGCAGTATGGGGTGCCAGGCGGGAACTGGTCCATGAAGGGAGAAAGTTTAAAAAACAGCTCCCCTCGCAGACTAGCTGCCTGTTGCCATGGGCTGCTCCCTCTGATAAAGAGGCAGCAGCACAGGGTGGCAGCAGCCGCTGTTGGGAGAGTGGGGGTGGGGGGTGGGGTGTCTGAGCTCCAAGGCCCAGCATGAGCAGGCCAGCTTTTGCTTATCAGTCAATCGGTTATTCAACTATACTATTACATCCTTAACATCCACCACTGCATTCCAGGCCTGAATGTATAGCAAGTATCTGCTTTTGGTATGATAAACAACAAAAATATGCAAAATCTGACTGCATTTTCTGAGGGTGCGAAGAGGGAAAAAAACCCTCAAACAAACAGCAAGTGATAAAAATCAACAGAAAAAAATGTCAATACACTGTCCTGATATTTTTTAAAAGCTGCCATCATTAGCCATTCAATAAACAGTAAGAAATAGTCTTTAGTGCTGATCCTGTCAATTAAGCTTAAGTATTTGATTCAAATGTCACTAGTTTTGATATGGCCACAGTACTGTTCTCAATATTGATTTTGCATCCATGGTTCATTCTCAAGCAGAAATGCCTTGTATGAGGTGGGGAACCTTTTTTGGGTCAGAGGCCAATGACCCACAATAAAATTAGTTGGGGGCCACACACAAGTGAAGAAAAATCGCTCTCACTAACATGGCCCCCAACAGCGAAGGAGAAAGACACATTCCCCTCCCACAGCAAAGCCTAGGATGGCACATCCTAGTAGATTTTGTGTGCTCCAGCCCCATGGTTGAACAGTGGGGGGAGGGCGGGGAAGGGGTTGAAGTGCCAACATGAAGTGCCAGTGCTGGGTGGGAGGAGGGGGGACCCTGAGCCTTGGGGGCTGGATCAAGGCAAACTGAGGGCCACATGTGGTGCCTGGGCCTGAAGTACCGCTATATAGAGCATGAGGTAATCTTTGAATTCTCTACAGCATTTGGGTGAAAGTTTGTTAAAACTCACTGAGTCCAAAATATTTACCTTTCTTTAAAGCTTCAAGAAGAAATGAAAGGTTTTCGGCAAAGCTGCCCTAAAAGAAAGAAAAATATTATAAAATGTTATCAGTGCAAGGCAGAAAGGGACTTAAAAATGTCATCTATAGTCCATCCCCCTATGCTGAGAAACTAAGTACAACTAGACCTTCCTTGACAGCTGTTTGTCCAATCTGCTCTTAAAAACCTCCAACAAAAGGAGATTCCACAATTTCTCTTGGTTAGCTATTCTAGAATATAAGTTTCCTTATCATTCGAAAGTTCTTTCTAACATCTAATTCTGCTTTATTACAGATTAAGCCCACTATATCTTGGTTTATCTTCAGCGGGCATGGAAAACAATCAATCGGGATCTTTCATACAAGATTTTCCACAGTTGAAAGCTGTAATAAAGGCCTACCACTCCATCCCTCAAAACTAATATACAGTGTTTTGGTAGGGTTTTTTAACTCTTTCTTCATCGGTCATGCTTTCTAAACCTTTTGTCATTTTTGTTGCTCTCCAATTTATCTACACCTTTAAGTCTGGCATTCAAAACAATACTACAGCTGAGGACTCACCAGTGCCAAGTAGAACAACTACGTCTTGTAGCTTATGTGATACTTGTAAATACATCCCCAGAACATTAGCTATTTAAAATATGATCACACTGACTCACTTTCAAATGCATGATCCACTACTCTCCCCCACGTTTTTTTGCAGTGAAAATGCCTAGTCAATTATTCTCCATTTTATATATGTTCATTTGATTTTTCCTTCCCTAGGAAAAATCTGAATTCTAATCCTGTCTTTCAAAGTACATGATAGATTTCCAAGCTTATCGTTCAAAACAGAAAGTTCAGTCACACAAGAAAATCTTTTAAAAACCTTTTTGAAGTAAAGCTACCTCCTTTTGTTTAAGCTCTAGATGTTATTAATAACTGCTTACAATATTACATGTTGTACGTTTAGCCATCTTCAATTAAGCAGAAAGCAAAGAAACTAATTTCTTCATAAAGACTAGTTCCATCCACCTTTTATTGGAGGGGTGGATCCAGCCCCTGAGGCTCAGCGCTCCCCGCAGCATTGGGGAGTCTGCACTAACGCTCCAGCCCCTGGGACTGGATCACACAAAATCTACTACCCTTCCCCGCTTCCTCCTGCCCCCAGCTCTGGTGTTGAAGGAGAATGTGAGGACTGTCTTTCTCCTTCTCAGCCAGGATCCTCATCAGTGAGAGTTTGGGTTTGTTTCCCACTAGGGGATATTACATTTAGATGAACTGGCTAACTGAATAGTCGATGCAATTTGCATCAACTATTCGATTAGTCTATCAGGGCTGTTGCTACACTTCAAAGATGAAAGCACTGTGGCGAGCAGGGTACTCAAGCAGTCCTCCGCTGGCCTCGTGCACGCCGCAGTACTTTCACCTTTGAAGTGTCGCATGGAGCCCAGGATCAGTGGAGGAGTCCCCAGCCGTCCCTAGGCTCCACGAGGCGCTGCTGCTTTGAAGCACCCCCTCATCTCCTTCCTTCCCCCACCTGCTGCCTCTTTCCAAGGAGGGGAGGAAGTGACTAGTCCAGCTAGTGTGCTTATTGGATTGTCAACTAGCCATCCACATCACTATTCCCCACCCCTGTTTTACGTCATCAAACCTGAAAAGCTTTATCCCAATAGACACACACAGGAATGAAGTCAAGAACAATCAAGAGAGGAAAAAACAACAACAAAACAACTTGGAGAGTTACAAACACCTCAGGAATGGCAGTCCATCACACTGAACAAAAAGTTACCGTTGTTCTTTCTGAAGTTTACATCTGAACATTGACTTAATACAGCTTCAAAACTTTAAAGAAGAAAAATGCAGCTTAGCCTTTTTCTTAATAATTTATATTTAACATAATACTCTATTTTTGTTTTTCTTCTGCTCTGTTGCTGCCCAATTGTGTATTTCCAGTTCCAAATGAGATGTGTGGTTGACTGGTCTGTTCTTAACTCTGGAGTTGGTAACTATGGGTGTGTCTACACTACAGCGTTATTTTGAAATATATTATTTCGAAATAGTTAATTTGAAATGAGTTATTTTGAAATAACATGCCTATACACAAAATGCATTTTGAAATAGCGTTTTGCTATTTTGAAATAGTGCATCCACACTGAGTGGACTGTGAATCACATTTAAGGCCAGCCGGAACCAGTTCTGGCAGGGCACCAGGTTAGGACTTAGCCTCAGGCAGCAGCCACACAAGGTAACTGAGGTCTGTGCTTAAAGGCCTGCTCCCGCCCCAAACAGCCGGTTCTCAGGTTTCGCTGCTTGCTTGTCTACCTCAATGATATCAAATAAAATACACATTTTTTCATAAACACGAACGGTCTTTATTTAACAAAACGGGGGAGGGGGATCAAACTCTGGTGAGACTGGGGAAGAGAGGAGAGAGGGTGGGAGAGGGGAGGGGGAAACCTGGAAGGAGGGAGCTGGAAGGGGGAAGCAAGGGAAAGAAGGGGGAAGAGAAGCTCAGGGATGGGGGTCTTGCCAGGCCAACTGTCTCCTAGCACCACAGGTGCGGGAGCTTCAGCATCCCTGTGGGGATGAGAAGGGGATGGAGGGTGAGGAGGAAGAAGTGGGAGGGGGAGAAGGAGTGGGAGGAGGAGCGGTAGCTGGGGAGGCAGCAGGCACTGGAGGGGCAGGAGGCAGCACATTCTGCACCAGGGTCTGCAGATGCAGGGGCAGATGACCATTTTGCGGGGCCCAGGGCAGCACACCCAGTTCAGGAGGGTGTGATGCAGAGCTCGCAGTGCCCCCAGGGGCACTGCACGGGTGGTCCTGCAGAGCCCTCAGGTGCAGGAACGTCCCAGGCGGGGGGTGGTGCACCCTGCACCGCAGATGGTGCGGCTGTGGAGAAACAAGAGAAGTGGTCAGTTATACCTGGGGACACAGTGGGTGAAGCCCAGCCCCCCTGTGCAAGGTGAGGATGACCATTCCCTGCACCATCAGAGGCAACGTGCTTGCACACAGGCCATGTTCGGAATGTCCTGCTATCCCCGGGAGTGGGAGCTGCCTCAACACCTCACCCATGCCCCTGTGCTGTGTATAGTGTGGGTGAGGTGGGGTGGGGAGGAGATGTCCCCTGCCTCTGTGTAGAATGGCCTTGTGGAGGGAGGGCGTCCTGCTGTGTCCCACCCCAGGGTCAGGAGGATGTCATCTCTCTTCACACACACATGTGGCTAACAGGCCAAGGCCCTGGTGTGGCAGCCAGTTGGGGCCACGTGCCCAGGGGTGGCATGGCACATGCTCGCACGTGCACAGGTGCAACGTGCTTGCACACAGGCCATGTTCGGAATGTCCTGCTATCCCCGGGAGTGGGAGCTGCCTCAACACCTCACCCATGCCCCTGTGCTGTGTATAGTGTGGGTGAGGTGGGGTGGGGAGGAGATGTCCCCTGCCTCTGTGTAGAATGGCCTTGTGGAGGGAGGGCGTCCTGCTGTGTCCCACCCCAGGGTCAGGAGGATGTCATCTCTCTTCACACACACATGTGGCTAACAGGCCAAGGCCCTGGTGTGGCAGCCAGTTGGGGCCACGTGCCCAGGGGTGGCATGGCACATGCTCGCACGTGCACAGGTTGCTGCGTGATCCATGGTAAGCAAGGCCATGCGCGCGGTCCCTGGTCTCCCTCCCCACCCCCCGATACGGGGACAATGATGGTACTCACATGTTGTTGCCTCCCCGGATGACGCTGGTGACGGGTCTGCTGGAATGGCTCGGGGGCCCTGGCTGCATGGCACGCTCCCTCTGAGCTCCTGCAGTTCCTGCTCCATGCCCTGGTCAGGGCCCTCCGTTCCAGGACCGATGACCCCCGGGGTGGTGCGCACTGTCCCGCCCCCCAGGATGTGGTCCAGGGCGTCAAAATAGGGGCAGGTGTCTGCCCCTCTTTGGGAGCTACCCCCTGTGGCCCTGGCATAGGCTTGCCGCAGCTCCTTTATTTTCATGTGCACCTGTTCCTGGGTGCGCATGTGGCCTTTGGTGGCCAGGCTGGCAGCCATCCATCTGTAGACAGCCGCATTCCTCCATCTAGCGCAGAGATCGTGGACATTGAAAGCCTCCCCCCAAACCTCAATGAGGTCCACAATCTCTGCACTAGACCAGGAAGGCGCCCATCTTCTCCGGCCTCGGCAGGCTCCTGGGAGCTCGGGGCTGGGCCCGGGGAGCAGTGGAGGGCTGGCTGGCACTGGCTGCCTGGCTCATGGTGGGACCACTGGGTCATGGGCAGTGACTGCTGGCTCTGTGCTGGCAAGCCTGGAGCTATGGCCAGTCTACCCCTTTAAGGGCTGCAGGAGAGGAGAGGAAGTTTTCCTGGTTGTGCCTACAGTGGTGACCAGGGCACCCTGGGAAGGGCTGGGGGCCCCCTATTTTGAAATAAGCGTCTGCACAGCGCTTATTTCAAATTTGGTGTTATTCCTCGTAGAATGAGATTTACCAAATTCAAAATAAGCGCTCCACTATTTCGAATTAATTTAAGTTTGGCTGTGTAGACGCTAGGAAAGTTATTTCAAAATAAGGGCTGTTATTTCGAAATAACTCTGCTGTATAGACATACCCTCTGAGAGTCTACTGTACTGAATAGTTTTCCTCTATCTTCTTCCTCATACTACATATATAAAATATTAAAACTAAGTTCTTTGACCCTAGTAGATTTTACTTATTTAGCAATACATGTACCTTTGGCAGGCAGTTTTCAAATCAGCAGTACCATAAGAGTCACAGGAAGACAGTACTTTTCAAAAGAGTTAGAGATGAATTGCTGGAAGAAGTACTCGGTCCCCTCAGCACCCTTCTTTATTGAGAAGGGGTAGGAAATCGAGTTCATGGCAGCACCATTCTGGGAGAATTGTGCAACACAGCACAATGCAGAATTTTATGTTTTGTGCAGAATTTCTCCTACCCATCCTCACCCTGAAATGGGATGCAGAGCTGCTGGACACCATTAGGGGCTGATGGACCTGGCAGAGCCCACCTGACAAAGACAGACACTGCTAGGAGACTGGAGGTAAGTGGGGAAAGGGAAGAGCTGGAGAGTTCCCAACACACCTGAAAGAAGGAGGCACATGAATCCAGACCCAGCATCAAGATGTTTCCCACTCTCAATCCCTGGATTTTGGGAGGGTAGAACATGTATCCAAGTGTCTGGACTGGGCCCTCCCCCAACAGCTGGGCTCTGGGAGAGGGTAAGCAGTGCAGGTGTCTGGGCTGGGGTGTATCTGGGTTCTGTGGGAGTAAAGGTAGAGCTGTGTTGTAACTGGGATTTTTTTAACTCCTTATCCCTGGGGCAATTTTTTTGGTCTATATTGTTAGACATTGTTGCTGATAGGTATTTTGAATTATCAATATAACAAACTGACAGGATTTATATAATGTTATTTAGACACAAAATATGAAGGAATTTACAGAATTTAAAAATATATAGTGAGAATTTAGTTTTTTTGATTCAGAACTCCCCCAGTGAAAAGAATATGGGTGAAGTCTGAAAACTTACTTGGCACAAGGGCAAGATGATAAACAAACAAAAAAGCTTTCTTCCATTTAGTTACAAGTTAAATTGCCAGTTTTTAAGTTAATGCTAGTCAAGAGGAGTGTATGTAGAAGGAAGGTAGGAGCAATCCTGTAAATTGGTAATCCTGTAAAAGCAGTATATGTAGGGATAGAGTGGATGACTTCTTAGCCTGGGGCTAGTGTATTAATGGTCCACATCATTAACAGAAAGGAGGGTTGAATAAATCCTTATGTTTGGCTAATGATTGGGGCCTTTTTGCCTCCTGCTTCCTGGTAGCTGGAATTGCAGAACTTGATATAATTGTGGTTTGCTGTATCCAACGCAAACTTGTCTGAGAATCACCCCCAGGTTAGTTCTTTAGACATAAGAAAGGAGCTATAAACAAGGGCATCTGCACCAATCCCTGAAAACACCTCAAATAGCAGGCAGGCAAAAGGTGTAAACTAGAAACTGCAATTCAGATGAAGGAATGATGGCACATACAGGTAAGAGAGTTCCCTACGGTAACAGAACTAGGAGTTTTCCAGTGAAACAGGTCAAGGTATAAAAAGGGGTGTCAAAACCCCTGGGATACCTCTTTCCTACCCCATCTCTGAGCTGTGAATTATGACCAGGAAAGTTATTTGGGCAACTCAGAGAGCCTTGTAGAAAACTAGCAAAGGTAACATCCCTGCAAACCTTCTGGACTATATACTTTAATCCAATTAATGTGCTTCACCTGCTTTACCCTTTTAGCAGTTTTCATTTCATTTCATTTCTTTTCTTAGTAAGTCTTCAGTTAGTTTATGAAGAGTTGGCTATAGTGGGGACAGGGAACCTTTTTTAGATGGAGGGTCAATGACTTAGAGAAAAAAAATCAGACAGGGGCCACATGCAATTGAGAAGCAAAAACAACCCTTCCCCCATGAATGTGGCCCCCAACTAATCAGGAAAAAAAAAGAGGTTGAGTGGGGGTGCAGGGTCTGGGCAGGAGAAGCAGGTTGAGGGTGGGATTACGGGATTCAGGCAGGAGCTAGAATGCAGAAGCAGAGTCGGGGAGGGACTGCATGGTGCAGGAGCAGTGTCGTGTCAGAGGAGACAGGGGATGGGGGCATCTACATGGCACAGCTGTGAAGGGGGTCACATGTGCCTCTGTGCTGTCACGTGTAGGCAGGCAGTACTCCCAACTGATCCCATGGGCTGGAATTCTCGATGAGTCTGACAGGGGATGGAGTATGCAAGCAGCACAGGGATGGAAATTGGTGCTCTCAGCTGTGATCGAGAACAGGCATGGTGACACACAGTATGTTCATAGCGGCTGTCTGGTATTTTCTGACAAGACAGACAAGGACTTAGGAAATACTTTACAAAAGCCTTAAAAGGTCAATAACTGTCCTAATTCCATAAGTTTCATATTAGTAGTATCTGAAGTAATTTATAAATTTAGAAAAGACTTATGAGAAGAATCAATCAATCAGTCCATCAGAGTTTTGCAGTAAGGCTCGAATCCTTTCATTTTAGTCTGGTCAATTACTGGAAGTTACTTATTTGGGTGTGGCTGCTTTTTTTGAGGGGAGATCTTTTGTTTGTCTTATGCTAAAATGTTTTGCATGGTCTAAAAGAACAGTGAAAAGAAGTTCATACTCACAAAAACTTTGTCGCCTACCACATTTTCCATTTGTAGCTGTCTCGTGATCTCCTTGAGAGCTATTTTATCATTTGTTTGTAGGAGCCCTAAAAGAAAGTGGTGAGTATACATCAAACATCATCTCCTTTGCTCTATTTACACCCAAGTGGCCCACCATTATGCTGAGCCCGCGAAGAGACTTATTCCAACAATATTTTTCCCAAGTGGGGCCTTCTATTATTTTTCCAGTAAGGCTACCTATACTTCTTGAGAAGTGTTGCTTCAGACAATCTGTCTTTCATAACTGAACAATGAATAGCAAGCAAATATTTTTATGAGTTCATACTTTGAAACATCTTTAAAAGCACTATTGGTTGAGATTTGCAGTAAGTGAAAAACCATTACAACAAGCAAATATTTTTAATGTAAAAGAATGAAATATTACTTGCCATTTAGATGAACTTGCAAGAGGTTCTCTCTTACTTCCTTTATTTCCATGAGCTCTTTCAAGACATGATTTAATAACTATAAAAAAAAAGCATAATTCACCTTAAAAACCGGAAAGAGAAGAAACGTCAAATAAAACAAGAGGATCTAACATTTAATAAAATTGAAGATACTGCTTTGTAACTAATCAAATGAAACTTTATTGTTAGGGCTGAGGATTCTTAAAAAAAACATGTAGTACTTCCTGTACTGGTTACATTCTTGACTTCTAACATTTGCACCATTAGAGGGAAAAAAATTTTCAATAAAATTTTTGTTAAACGTTAAAAAAAAAAAATCTGTCTTTCAAATCAGATCAATGAACCCTTTACATGGATCGCATCACTCCTTTTATCTTTAAAAAACCAAAACTGTAAAGATCCAGAACTTTGTAACATGAAACAAATCTTCTTGGAGGACCATAATGCTGGCAGGAAAGATAACACATACTTTGATATTCGGCTAAACTCAATATTATAAAAGACGAGGTTACTTACCTCGTAACTGTAGTTCTTCGAGATGTGTTGCTCATGTCCATTCTGATTAGGTGTACGTGCGCCGCGTGCACGGATTCCGGAGCTTTTTTCCCTTAGCAGTACCCATAGGGCCAGCAGGGAGCCCCCTGGAGTGGCGCCTGTATACCGGTGCATATATACCCCTGCTGGCCCTCCCACCCCTCAGTTCCTTCTTGCCGGCTCCTTCCGACATGGAGAGGTGGGTGGGATGCAGAATGGACATGAGCAACACATCTTGAAGAACTACAGTTACGAGGTAAGTAACCTCTTCTTCTTCTTCGAGTGCTTGCTCATGTCCATTCTGATTAGGTGAGTCCCTAGCCGTGTCCCCCCTCCAGAGGCGGGGTCGGAAGGTGACTAACTCTTATCTTATCATTCTGCAGAACACAGAACTGCCGTCCCGAAAGCAGCATCCTCCCCGGCCAGCTGCGTGATTGCATAATGCTCTGCGAAGGTGTGCACCGATGACCAGGTTGCTGCTCTGCAGATCTCCAAGATCGGCACGCAGGCCAGGAACGCCGCTGACTCGCCTGGGCTCTAGTGGAATGTGCTGTTATGCGCGGCGGTGGTTTACCCGCGCCCTCGTAGCACAGTCGAATACAGGAAGTAATCCACGAGGATATCCGCTGCGTTGAGACTGGCTGACCATACATCCTTTCTGCCACTGAAATCAACAGTTGATTTGACTTACGAAACTCTCATGTCCTATCTATATAAAAAGCCAACGCCCTCCAAACGTCCAGGCAGTGCAGAGCCTGTTCCCTGGGCGACGCGTGTGGCTTAGGGTAAAACACTGGCAGGTAAATATCCTGGGACATGTGGAAGTGTGAGACCACCTTGGGAAGAAATCCCGGGTGT